CTAGAAGGCAAAAAAAGAAGGAATAAAACTAAATTAGAGAATCCAGAAGGTATGAAATGTGGTTGGGAAAAAAGCTAGACATGTCTAGTGTATTGCCTTGTTCCTAGCTTATTAGCATTATCTAGGGCATCGAATTAGTACCTCTCAGGGAAACTTTTTGCTACATGGCCTAGGTAGATTCAAGGCTGATGCAAGGTTGCTACCTATAGCAGGAAGGCAGTAGAAGACTGATGTACCTACAGCCATATAGTGTCACACCATGTAGAAAAAAGTTAACACACTTTCCTATAAGGTGAATACAGAGGTATTCAGTGCTGCCATAGCACATAGACCAGGGAATAGGGAATAGAGACTATACATTGAGGGAGCAGGAATGGAATTAAATAATTTATGCTCACAATAGAGATGTGATCATCCTCTTCAACATTGGCTCTGGACTGTTGTAGTTAAGTGTTTGTGGATGTTGGAAGGGGAAGATTGGATATGTCAAGCCACCCAAGGAAGCTACACAAGGGATTTCAGAAATAATGGAGAATTTAAATGGTGGATCATGAATGCTTCCCACTGTTGCCAAGTAAAGTCTATGGCAAGAATCCCATGGATGTTAAGGGGACTTTTCCAAGGGCAAAGAATTGTGTTCATTCATTACCTTTTGACACAGGAGACCCAAATGGCCTTTGGAAACCTGAACATAATTTACCAGAATGTGGAAATGCTATTTTTGGACTGCTACACCCAGAATCCCCCAACTAGCACAGGTAGGAATCATGCTGGTCAGACCTTTTGGGGAGCTGTAGTCCAAAACAGTAACTTTTTCAAGACCTGCTAGCTACTTGGTTAAGTTGGTATGCCAGCTATGTTGCTGTACCATCTTCCACCTTCACACCTCACCTTTATCCATGCTCAGGCAATCTTGTACTTGAATTCCTGCAACATAAAATGGTCCAGGTACCTCAGCTGATTTGAAAGATTGTTGTGAGAAACCTCTCCTCTTTCATCATTTTCTTCAGTTGCCTGGTAATTCAACCTACTTATTTCATAGGCATTAGATGAAGGGGAGAAGGACTTCAGCTGGTGGTGGCAGTCCAGTTCTTAAGCAGGTTACCTGGCCACCTACTTTGGCATCAGCAGAGATCTTTGTATCTTCCTAGGCTTTTTAGTGTGTGACAAACAACTGTTTTTCTGATGCCTCTGTCTTTTTGATGGCTTGGCCCATGTGTGTG